TGAGGAAAGTGCTGCTGATAACCGCCAACTGTATTTACAGTGTGATCTGCTGTGTCATTGGACACAGCTGATCACGTGGTAAAAGGCTGCTGTGATTGGCCTTTTACCTAATCAAGTGATCAGGTGTGGCTGTAGGACACAGTGATCACCAACAGCACTGGAGGCGCGTTCAGGAGGATGTCCATGGACTCCCTCCCAGAACTGGACAACCGTGCTGTAGCTGTCTTTCGGCTGTAGCGTGGTTAGGAAGCGGTTGAGTGGAAGCTCTTCATGTATTTTTTTTTTTTTTTTTAATTGCTTTGTCCCAGTGGGGAGACTTCCCTTCACTTCCTGTACCACTAACACAACACAAGCGAAAAGGTCTCTGAAGTGAAGCCTCTCAGCTGTCACTACAACAGGTGTCCCCACTGGGAACTGTAAGTTTGGTTTTCCCATCACTTTCTGTCCCAATGACAATGGTCACAACAAATGGAGGGTGAACTTCCACAGCAAGTATACAGCCCAAAGTAGAAACCTGACCGGGGTTTCAGCATTTCCACATTGTATTCAAACACTTATAGGCCTCGTGCACCCAGACATTTATTAGTCTCACTTCTGTGGCCTCAAACCTGAAATCCCTGGAACTTTCCCCCCGCCCAAGAAGCTGTAGTGCCAAGTGAACAGTTGTGTGCAACTTACCTGTATAAATGGAATCACCTGCTTTTACATGAGTATAGCAACATGCAGATCTCCACTCGTATTGTCAGCTGTATGTGGTACCTGCAGTTCCTTGAGGATGGGAAAGTGATGGGGTTTTTACACCAGAGACAGGAGCTAACAAATGTCTGTACCAGCACAGTGCATCGTCTGTCGTCCTGCATCTACCATTAGTAAATTTTGTTCCTGGTTCTTTCCCTCTGCCAAGCGAAAACGTCAAACATCTTGATATGCTGAAGGTCAAAGGTAGGCTTTCGGGTGAAAGTGTATACACCTTTGTTGTAGGGAAGGGTTAAAGCCAGTAAATTTTTGTGCTGTGCATTCCATTAAATTAATTCCTCATCCCAGAAAAAATAGGAGATAGACTTTACAAAAAAAAGGCAAATTCCCCCATAGTTGTCACCAGAACAGGTATATCCAATGGAACATTTACTGCCACTTGTTTTTGTTCACAAACTAACATTTTGGATTTCCTATAATTTTCCCTCTTATTGACAATGGGACAAACAGACAAAGCGACTCTACCCAATACAGACAGCAGGAAAAATGTACTTTTCATTTTCTACTCTATCCAAAACTACACTTGGCTATACATGAACTTTAATAAAAACTGTCAGTGTGTACATTTTTGTCTGTCAAAACTTTTACTGTGCTGAAATGAAGGTTAACACGGCCAACATTAATTTAGTGAGAAGTTGCTTTTATTAAAACTTGGCAATGACTACAAGATACAAAACAATATTTTGGTCCATCAAAACCATAATCCATTTAAAAATAAAAAAGGCTACATATTTCATGAGAATAGAGGTGCTCGCTGGCACATTCAGTGAGAGATTGGAGAGCTTCTAAGGATAACACCCCAGAAAGCAAAGCAGCATATCAAGAGCCCATTCTGCAGACTGCAAATGCTGTATAAATATTTATTGTACACTCTGCTGCATAAACCAGAGTCCTTCATTGAAATCTACTGACCACTTTCCCCATCCATAACCGTGTAACCTTTTCCAATTTGAAAAAAAAAAAAATTATGTTCTAATACATTTTGCAACCTGTGATAGACGGCACAGGGCTCTGGAATCCTTTACATGGCAGTCCTGAAATCAAATTTATCAGTGCTTCTAATATATCTTTATTTGGAAGGCTAGCTAGGTGAACCAACTACTTACAGAAATTCAAGGATCTTTTGTAGGACTGAATGCTCAGCCATCAATCCACTAGACTGGACACTGGTGATCTCACAGAGGCATCAATTACAGGGACCTTTAGTTAAATGAGAAGGCTACAAACAGACTGTCGTGAGTGTGTCTGCCTCTTTCTGAAGACCTATGCTCACTGCATGTTAAACAGACCATAACTGCCATCCAAACAAATTTAGCAGTAGGAAGAAAAAGTTGAAGAAGAAAAAAAAAAAAACGCAATACTCTCCACGGTGGCAGCTTCCAGGGTGGATGAGTGAAATCGCCATGTCTTAACCAACGCTTCCTGGGATAGCTGGACACTCAAAATAATGTGAGAATGCACCCAAGTCCATAGCATGCATGTGTCCTCGCAGTATTCCATGCAGCCAGGAGGCAGCAATGTCATCTGCCCCTCCCAGCACACAACATCCTGGCGGCTAGTTTTGTTTTTTTTTCCTATTTCTTGTGAAATCTTTGTTGATAAAGTTGTATTTATTGCTACTTTGTTTGGGCAGCAGGGCCTGTCATTAAATATCTACTTTTAAAGTGTAAGTCTGGCTGTACAGAAAATCTGTAAGGTAACCTAACACTGGACACCCCCCCCCCCCCCGGTGATCCTCCGCTGTCAGACATGCTGCTTCACCAGTCCAGGGACTTCAAATCCTCGTGGCTTAATTTCCACACCATACTGCTTAGCCAGCAGTATGGACCAGAGGGATTCTAATTGGTCAACACTGTCACACAGACAGTATTGACTGATCAGAAACTGTCCAGCCCATCCCGTCAGCACGGCAAGGAGAGGAAAGAAAGCCAAGGGGATTTCAAATCCCCCGGACCGGTAAAGCAACATGCTGGTGTATGACAGCGAAGGATCGCAGGACTGGAGGGGGTCCAGTGTTGGGTCACCTTACAGAATTCTGTAAATGTGAACTTAGACTTTAAATGAAGACCATTTCTGATGCTGAGTGAAGCAGCTGTCAATCATGACAGCAACTGACAGAACATCACTGCTTTGCAAGCAATAAAACAAAAATCCATGCAATGGACTCTGGAAAACCAACAAAGGACTCACATCAATCCATGCAATAAGCCAGCATAGGAAACATAACCTCAGGTCATAAAAACAGACTGCACTCAGTAAACTGGATATACAGTATTGCAGTTGAAAAATATCAGTGATGTCACAACCAGCTTCAAAAATTGGTCTTCAAAGTTTGAGAATCGGCATGCACAGCCTCCAAATAGTTTGTATGTAGCCTTAGGGTGCACAGTGAAGATACATCAACCAATCAGAAATCATTTTTCAGTAAACTGATGAATTCTGATTAGATATGTTTGATACGTTAGCAAGCAACTGCTTCACCTACCAAGGCAAGGTCAAAGTGTCACTAGTGAATTGACTGGCTGCATTTTCATTATTCTGAAATATACTGACCACCTCTGTGTGATCAATACAATCTAAACGATGTTACAGTAAACCTACATGGATAGACAATACTATTTTAAGTATGTCAATCAATTTGGAGCTCAAAGAGTAGGTGAACTAAGCATGGCCAAACACCTTGCACATGCAAGTTAAACATAACCAGCATCAACGCCTCATTCACACTGACACGGTTGTGTTTACATGTTTTAAAAACGCAGGAGAAGTGATCTGAGAAGTATACACAACTTTATTGCTTCACATATCACTTTTTCCTGCTTTAAAGACTCATTCACCATGGCACTGGTAAACCTGTATTTAGAGGACATTTCCAAACACACAAATGCATGCAATGATTTTGCAATGGTACCATTCCCACTGCATTTACGTGCAGCCAGTTTAGCTGCATTAAGAGAAAATAGATTTTTATGCTTCCAGAATCCGATTAGACACACTAAACATGTCTGAACCTGTTGTACAGCAGGAACATGTAAGGGCCCGGTCACACTAGCACGCGATGGGGGAAACCCACGTTCCCCATGCAGTTTTCCACACCGCATTCCAATCCCACTGCCCTTGTGATCTGCAGTGGGTGTTAATACAAAGTTAACATCACCCCAAAAGCAGTGTTTGCCCACACCAGATCACATGGTACATAAATACCATGCAAGCCGGTTGCAGTGTGTTTCAAAAAGTAGTGCATGCATTGCTTTTGGTGCAGTACTGCGTGATTTCAGCCCATACAAAATAAGGGGATGAAATCGCACTGCATGCAGTTCCTAGTATGAATGGGCACTAAATGCAGGAACAGGTGATCTGGGAGGCATAAATGTTGTCTATACTTGCCAGAAAATTTCTCCTGCTCTTAGAAAAGCTAAACATTGCAGTGTGAACAAGGCTTATGCAGACAATTTGGTCATGTTTACATGTGAAGATTGTAATCAGATCGCAGATGCACAGAATATGTCTAAACACAGTATAGTGTGAACTACATTCTTGACAATCCATACGTTTAAAAGGAGTTTAGAAATACCCTCTAACTGCATAGAAATGCAGGTGTGAATGAAATAGTAAGGCCTTATGTACATTAACACTTCTTTGTTTAGCTTTTCTACACACAGAAGAAATATTCCAGGAAGCATTAAAAAAAAAAATTTTTTTTATGCCTCCCAGATCCATTTTTCTTGCATTTAGATGGCAGTGCTTTAGCCACCTTTACATGCGTTTATTCACGTTTGAGTGTCTAATTGGATCCTTGACACATATTTATAGTTTCTTTAAACACAGGTGAATGAGCAGTGTGAATAGCACCATTGAAAAATCATTAGATGCATTAATAAATGTCCTTGCACAGGTTTGACAGTGTCAGTGTGAATGAAGCCTAATACAAAAAAACAAACAAACAAAAAACACAACAAAATGACACTTAAGGTGGGAAAGAAACTGAAAGTAATTGATCCTTCAACTTTAATAGTTTAACCCTCAAAATATCTGGTGGCGGCCTATGTTTTTCATTTCATCTGGGACCAGTATAAATATTAGTGTGTCCTTATTCCACTTGTCAGTCATTTGGTGGCAGAGGCCTCAGTTCTGATATACTTGACAGCAGCATCCTAAAGCCTCAAAAAGATGTTGAAAATTTGGCCAAGAGAAGCACTCAGTTCCATACATCCATAGGCAGCTTCTCATGTGCCAGCGTCTCTTTATGTATTTCTGATCCCTAGGGCTTGCTCCAATTCCTGGCGTCTTTGCTGTACCTATATACACAAAGCACGACAAAAGCAAGCCTTAAGTAATACGCACAAACAGCATGAAATACCTTCTGCATGCAAGGAAAACAAGTGTGTACCTTGGAGTAAAAGTATCGACAAACCGCTTCCTGAGCCCAGGGCTGGAAATAGAATTCTGCTCTGCGCTCCTCTTCTGGATTTCCAACAACATCCGTCATGGTCTATGGACAAAGCAGATCGTTGAGGGTTTAGAAAGCTGAATAAAAACACGACACACCACGCGAACAAATGGCTTCAAAATCGCGTACCTTGAGGTCACGGCACTGAGACTGTAGCCAGTCATTGATAAAACCTTGAGGGTCACGAGCAAAGCTTAACATGAACTCCCTCTGAATCTTCAGCTGATTAATTGTTTCAATCGTCTCATGAATCTAAACAAGAGAACATATGTTAAGAACCAAGACTGCATATTGATGGCCATTTGCATAAAGCTCCAAGGAGTAAGTGATTGAACAGATACCTCAACAGCTGTTTGACTTCACCAAACCACCAGGGCAGCTTATCCAACAGAGTAAATCATCATTAAAGTCACTGCTGATGTTAGAAATGAAATCAAACAGTCACTTATTTCTAGAACACAGATGTAGAGTCGGGGCAGTCACACAGGTTAAAGTGAAGCACTACTTTGCTGCTACTGGGAGTTTAATGTGTTATGAACACAGAAGACGAAAAGCAAACAGACCTGGTAAGATGTTTGGTTAGGTAACATAAAAGTGCACCTGGGAGCAGGCTACTAAAGAGCATGAAATGAGGGACTGGAAAATGCCGTTTACAAAATGCATAATCTTCAGAAGAACGCACACACGTTTTTAAAAAGCTGTACAGAACAATCAATTAGCTGAGGCTGAGAAAACGTCTTCATACACTAATAAAGCCTCCAGGGTGCACATGCTAAATAAATATTCCAGGAGAGAACAGGAGAGCAAGATCAGCGCTTCCTCACATGAACCAATTACATGTCCTTAAGCCAAACTGAAGCCTCACACCTTTACTCTTTTTCTTGTCCTGGACCACTGCATGCTGATTTTCCCTCGGAAGTACCTCAAAACACCCTTTTCATTTAATGGAAATGTACTTCCTGCCCTTCCTTTACTGTGCTCTGTGCTGGTCTAGAGGAGTAACAGCCTCACCATAGATGAAAGTTATTGTAAACCTTGGTTTTTTAAAACATGTTATACTTACCTGCCCTGTGTAATGGTTTTGCACAGAGCTGCCCCGATCCTCCTCTTCTGGTGTTCCCTGCCAGTGCTGTGGACTCCACCTTCCTGCTAACTGCCCCCCATAGCAAGCTGCTTGCTATGGGGGGCACTCGTGTGCTCGCCTCCCTCCTGAGCCAGATCTGTGTGACACACAGAACGGGGCTTGGCACCGTCTCCAGCCACTAGCTCTGATTGACAGCAGTGGGAACCAATGGCTGCCGCTGTGAGCCAATGAGGACCGAGCGAGCAGAGAGCCTCGGCTCTTGTACACATTGCTGGATCAGGATCGGAGTCAGGTATTAATTTAGGGGGGATGCAGGGGAAGCTGCATGCAGGTGGTTTTTATACCTTACTGCAGAGAAAGCAGTAAAGGTAAAAACAAAACAAACAAAACCTTCTTCCTTTACAACCAGTTTAACGGGTGCACTGGGCAAGTGGGTCAAACTTCACTTCCCGCTAGACAGAGCAGTCACACTACTATTCCAAGGAAAATTGAAGTAAGAAAATTAAGGGTTTTTTTTTAGTACAATGTTGATCTGACAACCTCTAACCCAGGGTGGATAAAAATCAATGATTTTTTTAAAAAAAAAATCAGATTTTTTTTATTTAAATCGGATTTTTTTTATTATTTAATCGGATTTTTTTAAATAAAATGCTTTTTGAGGAAAATATATTACCATCCAAAGGTTGTTCCATCATGAAATAAAGATTCGTTTTTTAATTATGTAGAATAAGGCTGTATATGTTTAATTTTTTTGGTAAATAAATTCCATGAATCCATTCACAATGTCATGCTCTTCCAGAGGTTTTTGTAAGATTATTGGGCAGTTTCTCTGCCTACAAGATATTATCACAGATGCTCGGTTTACTTTTGCAGTTCTCAAAACTGAATTTGACTCAGCGGAGATCACATGCCTCTTCTTCACAGCAAAAATGTTATAACATGAACAGAGTTAAGAAAAAGACCTTAATCCTAACTTCTACAAACCTATGAATACAGAATCAACCCCTTCAGTGCTACGTTTCAAGAAGTTCAGTGAATAGAATAGAAACAATATTTTTCTGATTGTTTGGAGTGGAATAGATCTGCACAAGAAGAAAGTGAAACTAAGTGTGAGGAGGAAGGGGCTGACAGTCTAAGTTTCTTAAAATATATATATTTTGTTTAGCCAAATTATTTAACCAAACATGGATGTTTAAGCAAATACTATATGCTGGAATGTTATTGTTTCAGTTGAATAAATCTATTTAAATTATTATTAAGCTAATGATTATTTTTCTCCTTCCTAAGTACAAAAGAAAAGTTGTCCAAATATGAATGATTAACCTATTAAACTGGGGATAAAAAACTAATATAAAAAGTTATTCTAAAAATCTTCATCTACTTGCATATTAAAGTTATACCAGCAAGAATTAGTCTTTATGTAGAAAACTAGGATTTAAATCAAGCCTTACTGACTAGTGATTTAAATCAGTTTGATTTCAAATCAAATCCACCCTGCTCTAACCTCATTATTTGTGGAAAACAAGCATGCAGCTAGTGAAGGCAGAGGAAAGTCAGAATCCCCAGATCTGTACACTTGTTCTGGATTGGTGACCAAAAAATGTTGAAGCCTTTGGATCATCATTACAGAACACGACGCAGCATTAGGATGAGAATTCAACAGTAGGAACCCAGAATTTTCTCAGTAGTCTTCTCTCACACAATGGGGGTGATTTACTAAAACTGGAGAGAGCAAAATCTAGTGCAGCTCTGCAGAGAAACCAATCAACTTCTAGGTTTTTTTTTGGTCAAAGCTTGGCTACTATGCAAAGCTGCACCAGATTTTGCCCTCTAGTTTTCATCAACCAACCCCCTAGTGTCAGATCAGGGTTCAGGTACCTCAGTGATCTTATTCACAAACTAATGGTTTTACGTCAAATTTATTTTAGTTTGCCATTCAGCAAAAACAGAATCCTTTGCTCTGTGTGTTGTCTAGAAATAAAAATATGAAATATCTATTCTCAATATTTCATGTTTATGTGACTAAAAAAGTGAACATTTTTAAAAAATGTGTTCTAATTCCGAACATTAAAATGATATACAAAAAATTAACTGAAAGACTGTCAAACAGGACAAAATGCAAATTAAGAGCTTAGTTTTGAATAGAGCTACAGTCTAATAAAATAGATTGTAAGCTCTAAAGAGCAGGGCCCTCCTATCCCTCTTGTATTGAACTGTATTGTGTCCCTTTATACTGTAAAGCGCTGAGCAAACTATTGGCACTATAGAAATCCTGAATAATAATAATAATAAACAAAAAGCAGTTCAGACTAAAGCCTGGTACACACTATTAGTTTTTGTTATCCCTCAACCCTGCGGGCTGAAAAAAAAAAAATCCAAAAAACTAAAACAAAAAAACCACACTGACAGATCTCTGTAGTAACACAAGCAATGTTAGTACAGGGTTCTCCCCGCTGTACTATTGTGTTCTGACAGGGGGACCGTCCCCCACCAGGATACACGGATCAGCGCTCACAGCCATTGGTTACAAGATGCCAGTTGGCTGCTGGTTTTCCAGCTTGTCCAGTTGCAGGAAGCCAGATGGACTGTTGAACCAGCTGATACTCAGCCTTTGAGTACCCAGCTTTACAGACTGTTTTGACTATGTTAGCTTGATAAAGTTCTTTGGAAAACACAATTTGATTGAAGTGTGAAAGGAAATCACCTAGTGCGATCCCATTTATTTGCTGGTGACATAAGACTCTACAACAATGTTCCAGCCAAAATATTTCATTTTATAAAGGACAGAACACAAACATATGCCCTTACATAGGTTAAAGCTGGCCATACACTGATCATTGCCCCTGCATTTGCAGTTTAGCATTTGATTGACCTCTATTGAATGGACATGCTGAAAAACTTTTGTCAATCAGCTGCAACCGCCGATCAGTGTAACGACAGTGGTGGGTCCCGCTGTCAGAATAACATCAAACCAAACAGTTTGTGTGGATTGAGAAAACTGTTAAAGTGGAACTGCACTGCATCAGACTACCAAACCAAAAGTGCTATAGAATTCATTTTTAATATTTGAAACAAACTCCTCTAACCATCATCCAGGTCCCCATGCTTTATTTTGCTGAGAAATCATTTTGAAAAACACCTCCTGGCATTTCTGGCAGTGGCCATCTTGAGTAAAGGCAGAGGATTCATGAAGCAGTTACTTCCCGGAATCCATCAGTCCTTAGCTCAGGCATTGGCTGAGCTGAGAACCCACCCTCCCTCTCTTCCTGAAGACTCCTGGGATGTATGACATCGTTTGCCTAGGCATGGAAACCAGGAAATCATGAAGGAATGCAAAGGAAAAAAAACTAAATATGAATATACTTTCCTATTTACTAATGCTAGCAGCATAAGGGTCAGAAATAGTCCATGTTGGTTGAGAGAATGACGTTCCACCTAATTTTACTTCAGTGTTTGCTGAACGAAAAAAAAAAATAAAAAAACCCCAAAAAATATCTATAGACAACTTAAGTCTGGCTTAGTGCTTAGCACTTCTGTTATGCAGTCCTCTGAATTCCAGCAAGGATGCGACCTGCATGGAGTTTGCATGCATGTTCTCCCTGTTCTTGCTTGGGTGTCCGCTACACTCCACAGACATGCTGGTAGGTTAGTTGGCTCCTGACTACATTGGCCCTAGTATGTGTCTGTATGAATATGAAGTAGGGATCTTACATTGTAAGCTTCTTGAGGGCAGGGACTGATGTGAATCAATGCACAGTATGTAAAGAGCTGAGTAAACTGTCAGCGCTATATAGAGGTCTGTAATAAACAAACGTGGTAACTTCCTAGTACATATGCTGCTCACTTATAGGAGACTTGCTGGAAGTTTGAATAATACTCATCATAGGGAACAGGCTTGCTTTGTTGAACTTCCCAATGATGGTTTAGTGCAAGGCCGGTTGTGTACTGACTGGCTTCCTGCTCAAACCATGGCCACAGCCAGGAGATAGCTGAATACAACTTGTTATACTGTTTAAAAGAGATTTTATAAATGTAGTTTTGATTTTAGCTTCTTTCATCAATATTGCGAATCAGTAATGACTGCTGTTCAGGAGTAACAACATGTGAACTCCAAATGGAATATGGATCTAACCAGAAACAATTCTGCATGCTGCCTATGTTTTTTAGTTTTCCTACATTACCTCTCAAGTGGAATGCATGCAGGCAGCATGTTCGTTTGCATTTCTGAATATAGTCCTCACTTTGGCAGGGCATATACCAACATTGGAACGATACAGATTAGCAGATCCCAGCACATGGATGACATGCAAATTTGTGAAGCGTTCCATATTTTATTTCACTGGTACCTTACACCTGAAACTCTAAATGGAATTAATCCAATTATACCTCTCACTTGGAGATGTAATGAACCCTACACCCCAAGATACACCTTTCGGAACACACTAAAACCCTCTTAGAATCACTATTCGACCCTTCATTATATTTAGATCCAGTACACTACCTCCTGGGGTTGCCCAAGCTGCATACAGCCAAATCTGCTACCAAGCTCTTTACAAATGTATTCACAATGCTTATAACATGGAATATTTGACAGCTCGGCTCAACAACTCTCCATAAATGTAATAAAATATGGTGCGTCTGGCATCTTATAGACTCGCTCTAACCTTATATATCCCCCTTTCCCCCCATTCCTGCCTTCCTCACCTCTCCCCCTCTTTTTCTGTTATCTATCTTACCTCTCTTATTCTACTATTCCTTTAAGTTGTAATTATACCATTTTTGTTACAGCGGATATCAGTTATTTTCCTACACTTGTGCTCCAGCTTTGGAGAATATGCTTCCTATCTTGCTCTATGTAACCTCAGGATAATACCATTACGACTATTGAGAGATATTTAACCAAAATGCTATTCAATTAGTAATACTTCAGTGTGTATTCCTGTCAATGTACCAAATTTTTACCTTTGGCATTCCTTGCTAATTGGCTAGCGATGCTAGCCATAACTACTACTCGATTGCTGGAATGTTCGTTTATTGCACATCTACATCTGCTGTAACCATTTACATTTATATGATTTTTTTACATCTTAATAGAAAGTTAAATAAATTTAAGAATAGAGAAAAGCAAGAGCTACCCAAGGCCCTGCATTTGAGTTCTTAACCACCTTAATACCGGGCACTTTTCCTGCCCAGGCCAATTTTCAGCTTTCAGCGCTCTCACACCTTGAATGACAATTGCGCGGTCATGCAATGCGGTACCCAAACTAAAATTATATCATTTTGTGCACACAACTAGAGCTTGCTTTTGGTGGCATTTAATCACCACTGGGGATTTTTTTTGTTTGTTATAAAATTTTGGAAAATAATTGTTCTTCATAAATTTAGGCCAAGATGTATTCTGCTACATTTCTTTGGTGAAAATAACCCAAATCAGTATTTATTATTTAGTCTGTAGGAAAGTTATAGAGTTCACAAACTATGGGATATATCTGAAAATTGACCAATTCTGAAATACTGACAGCCAATCTAATTTCTTGAGGCCCAAAAATGTCAGGACTGTACAGATATCCCCCAAATTACCCCTTTTTGCAAAGTAGACAGTCCGACGTATTTAGTAAGAGGCATGGAGAGTTTTTTTGAAGTTGTATTTTTGTCATTTGTTTGGAAAATGAAGTAAAAAAAAAAAAAAAAAAGTAATTTTTTTTTTTTAATTTACATACTGTCACCAGTGCAGTAGTGTCATCATATAACTGGTGTGGCGGTGATCAGGGACACCGACTAGTGACAGTACGAAAAAAAATACATTTTTAAATTTTATTATTTATTACCTTTTCTTTTTAAGATTTTTCATAATACACTGCAACAAGAGTAGTATGTTACCATAGTAATGTTGTACTACTTTGGGGAAGTGATCAATATATATATATTTTTTTTCCTTACACATTAGGATTGCTTATAGCAATGCATTTCTTTGCTATAAGCAATCATTTAACTAAATAAAATGGATTAATTCAGGTTTTTTGTTGTGATTAGCCACAGATAATCACATGACACAGATGGGGCTGTGATTGTCCCCAGTCACAGCCAGGGACTAATCTCGCCACATAAGGCGTGATCCGGGAAGGACATCATGTGATGTCCACCCTGATCGGCGAAGGTCACGCTCGGCCGTCATTCTGCTATTGGCCGGGAGGAACAGGTTAATCCTGGAGACCAAACAGTATATGATGACCCAAATTCATACTGAGCACCATTTAACCTATTTCAGCAGCTGGTTTCAATTCCATTTTTTTAATATGACGAGTACAATCCTGCCTGCCCCTCACCATGGTTGGGCTCTGGTTGAGCAGAACTTGGCACAGTTGAGTCTATTTGACTGCAAGCTTGTTACATTTAAACGATAAGTTCACCTTTTCTAAGATGTTACACCCATATTCAGGGTGTAACATGTAACTTGTTAGTGCTGCAGCTGCCCCTGCGATCCACTGTGACAGCTGACCGGGAATAATCTCACAGTATCTTCTGCCACAATTCAAAAAAGATGTGACCCTACGGGGCTCCGCTCACCCAGCCATGTCACTCATTCACAGTATTCTGTGAAAGGGAAATTACAATTACCGTCAGCTTTTGCAGCTGCTAGGTTGTAGTTCTCAATGAACTACCACGGCGCTGTTGAGTATTCTAGGTAGTTCATTGATGGTTCCTGTTATGTGACTGCCTGTCTGTATGAGCCTTTAGGCAGACAGATTACACTGACAGTCTGTAAGAGCCATGCATTGCACCTGCGATCTGCTGATTGTAGGTGCAATTCTTTACAGGATACTAAAAAGAAAACAATAAATGCATTTTTTTTTTTACCTGCGCAAAAAGATATGCAAACATTATTATTTTTTTTTTTTTTTTAAAGGTGAACTTATCCTTTAACCACTTCAATACTGGATACTTTTACCCCCTTCCTGCTCAGGTCAATTTTCAGTGTTGTCGCACTTTGAATGACAATTATGCAGTCATACAACACTGTACCCATAAAAAATGTGTATCATTTTTTTTCCACAAATTGAGCTTTCTTTTGGTGGTATTTAATCACCACTGAGTTTCTTTTTTGAAAAAAAAAAAAAAAAAAAAAAGAACATTGTGTTTTTTTCGCTTCAGTTATAAACTTTTGCAAATAAATAACATTTCTTCATAAATTTAGGTCAAAATGTATTCTGCTAAATTTCTTTGGTGAAAATACCCCAAATTAGTGTATATTATTTGTCTGTAGGAAAGTTATAGAGTCCACAAACCATGGTATAAAAATCTGAAAATCGATCAATCCTGCAACGGCCGGGATAGTGATTGATAATTGGCTGTGTCCCGTGGACACAGTCGGTGACAGATTGCGTAGCTGCGTGCCCCGTGAGTGGCTCCTTCTGACAGGATGTTATATAATGCCCACTCAGAAGGAGGAGTGTCCCTACCGGCAGTCAATCTATAGACTGGGCGGGAAGGTGTTAACCTAGTTTATAAATCTCAGGTGCTTTTGATAAACAAACCCACTTCGTTTACCTTGTTGTCTAGAGCTGCAATTTCTTGTTGACTGGAAGTGGAAAGCAGGAAAGAGTTCATCTGAGTCTTGAGGGTGTCATCCACTTCAACATCAATATCATAACATGCCGTCTTCTTCTGGTCATTAGGATCCACACTGTCAATACAAAATCTATAAATATAACAAAACTTGGTGGACCAAGACAAAATAACATAATCACTAAGATTATACTTACCTAATGACATGATTGATTATGATGGGCTCTGGAGGCATGAGAAGGGCATGTAGTCTTTGTGGAAGCTCGGAAAACTTCATCCTCTGAGATTCAAAGATCTGTGGTGACAAACCGTAGAATAGAGAGAAAATCAGAAACACCTGTAACCAGTCAGTAGGAGACTGTGTGGAGGAATCATATTTACCTGTTGGAGGTACTTGTCACAGATTATGAACTCCCGCTCATGAGGGTCCTGAAGTTTGTGAGTTTTAATGTACTGCCATAAGGCTTGAATGATGACTGGACGAGTCTGTGTGTGGATTCCGAGAAGACGAGCCAAGCGGGGATCAAGCTTAAACTGAGGTGGCTGGGGAAAGGAAATGCTTTATAAATTTGATGGTAAAAGGATTCCAGATAAAACATTTGTCTAAACATTTGTCATTTGTCTTGTATGTCTAGGTTACAAAATACACTGCAAGGGAAGAAAAACAAAGCAAAAGCAGATTTCTGATTCCATTAGCCCACAAGATAAAATGTGATTGTTTTGATAGGCAAATGCGCCACTTTCTCCAGCTGTCCTCTTAAAATCAGCAGCACAATGTGAATGAAATTACAAGCATGTTTCTGATTACATATATACCTGATAATCAAGCATCAGCAGCACTGTGCAGCGTACATTGACATCTCCTGGACGTTTGACCTGAAACCCATCTGTCTCCTGAGTGGTTGGTGTTCTGTGCCACTGGAATACAAATGAGTGAGAACGTCACATCTGATCTTCAAGTCAGGTTTCAATTCCTGTCTGTAATCCACATTGAGCAGATTTTCCCCACTCCTGGCTCTGAGACCTAAACAAGCTAGGTTAACTGGCACTGGACATGAAGGCACAAACAGCAATAAAAGCATTATCAAGGACTCCTACCTTTTCCCCAACGGGGTGACAATACTGACAGCCCTGCAGTGAAATGACTACAGCACGGTCAGCATGTGCAGCCACTAAGACTACAGCCCTGAATGGATACACATGACAAAGAGAAGGGTTATCGGCACTGTTACTGCTGGTAACTCTCCTCCTCCCACTGGCAGTTAGTGCACGACAAAGCCTAGAGTTACAACGAGCCTCTCCACTGATTGTTTGTAGGCGCTTGGCAGATGGGAGCTGTAATCCATAACAGGGGCGGACTGACAACTTAAGGGGCCCCTGGGAAATAGGGGATCATGGGGCCCCTGTGTCCTTGCCCAAACTCAAAAAAGCCTATGAAAAAGGTACCAGGGGAATCTCATGGGGCCCCCTACTGACCCCGGGCCCTCGGGCAGTGCCCGAGTTTCCAAATGGTCAGTCAGCCCCTAGTCCATAAGATAACCCTGCATTTGAAGGAAATGACATAAGGCACCCTCTTTGATTCCTCCTCCAAGCTCCAGCGCTCTGAAGAGATCTGTAACCTCTAAAGACATTACAAGGGCAAAGAAAAGTATTTCTGCATGCTTATATTAAAAAACCTAGCAAGAATAAACAGAGGGGCCATGCTTAAAAAAAACCCCAAAACAATGGAATGTGTAAACCTAGACAGACTTGTGTTTTATTCTAAAACAAGTCTAAGTATTACAAAACATATGGGAGCATTTAGAAAAGATTTGCTTTAAAAAGCACATGTAATAAAAGTAAATTGCTGTTGTAAAGGAAATGTATACAATTTATTTTACCCAATATGGAGGTTAAGTTGGGTAGAACCTTAAAAATATGCACATGAAATAGACTACCCAAGGGGACAAGTTCCAACGTTTCCCCGTGTACTTTCCAGGTTATATGTAGGGACTTTGTGATATAAAATAGTCAACATACCACAAATCACGTGCTGAAATACACCAAGCACTGGCACAAAGATAGAAAAAAAAAAGGCAATCTACAAACATCAGTTGGCTCTCTCAACAATGGTGACAAATATCCTTTATTCGAAAAATCACTACAAATGCAGACATTCTAACATCACAAAAATCACTCCATTACATAGGTATAATGAAAATGTTTCAAATCACAATCTGATACTTTGTCAAGTCTAAGTACAGTGCATATGAAATGACAGATTTTTCTCTGCTACGATTATGATTGTATATGCCTTTTGGAATACCAGGGATTGGACATTACAAAAATACTCTGGATGCCATTAGTGATTTTATGGGCTCTGTGATATCTTGAGAGACAGATTTAAAAGTGCCTTCATACCGATACAATGACTGGCCACTGATACAGCCTATAATATAAAACAGAATCCCAGCATTGTACACAAACGTTTTATGACCCAAAGGAACACGTGCAGAGAACCAAACACTATTATCTGAACATTAGACTCATCACAAAATATTTCACTTTCAATTTCATCTCCAAGTATGCCATTTCTACAAGTGATTTATGTGATGCACACAGGTGCTGCCCTGTCTGAACGCTTGCGTCTTTCTGCAGTTGTGATTGTCTGTATTTTTACCTGGCTTACAGGCCGCCACGCTGGGATAAATACATACCGACATCAAAAGGAACACTGTCCTCTAGTGGCTAACAATCATACAGGCAGGAAATAATCTAACCGAAAGGACACAAGAAATTGTAACGGAAAAGAACAGGAGACAAGCCAAACTGATCGCTTATGTAACATATCCGTTTCTAAATAGCTGGTAACAGAGGAATGACCTCTGCATAATGCATTGGCATTAAACAGAGAGTGATGTGTACAGGTGAAAGATATAAACACCACAATAAAGTAAGATTCCAAAGTGGAGCTCCAAAAGGATGTGCTTTACATTGGACATACCTCCACCAAATGATTATCTGGCCCGTACAGATCCTTGTCTAACTCAATGACCAAAGACTTAAAAAATGATGAGAATTTTCTCTTCTGTTTGGAAACATCATATTTGGATAAAGTTGTCTGCAAAATAAAATAATACGTAGTTCAAAAACCTGATATTACATACGTTTTGATACAGAGTCAATGTTTTGTCTAAAAAAAACCACCCTAACGGTCTTGGTTCTAATTATCATTATACAGGATTTATATAGCACCAACAGTTTGCTCAGCACTTTACAATATTAAAAAAAAAAACACCCTAACGGTCTTGGTTCTAATGCGGACGTATTTTCACAGTTCAGATTCCTTGTCATGTGTTGTGAGTCCTTTGTAGCACAGCAGGTAAACCAAATTATTGTGGTCTCTTATGGACACAGAAGCAGCTAAAAGTGTCCCTACTAGCACAGCAATTAACTGGATAGGCTTCCGGCTGGTTGCTTGATGAAAATACAGACAGTGTCATTATGGCAGTTAGCAGGACTGATTTGAAAAACAAAATAACAATAGTAAGTAGATGTTATCCTGTTTAAAGGGCTTCTCTTCCTTTCTTGAGCAATAGCTAGACACAAGTGTACTGAGGACAAGGTTCTTTTTCTAACTTGGGAACTACAGTGGTCCTCCAAACACTTTACCAGCAAAGCTGGGATTGTCATAGTTTTAGGTTATTGTACATCATAACAATGCAGTTTCATTGGATGTTTAGAAAAGAGGAATTAAATGTAATTACATAATTGAAAAGTTTCGTTAGGATTAGTTTTGAATAAAGGATCATCGATTGTTCCGTTATCTACTTAAAGGATAAGTTCACCTTTGGGACTGTTACATTTTCCACCTGGTTGTAGGGTGGAACACATAACATATTTCCACACCTGCAGCCTCTCCCCTGACCGCTCTTCTCATTGTGACATCGAACAGGGGATCCTCTCTCCACACATGCGGTCACATTTTTTAAAAGAACGCAGTCGTGCAGGGCAGACCACACAACACCATCATTTATTTATTCACAGTTCTGTGAATGAATTAACTACATCTACAGTCGGCCTTAGCAGCGTGAAGACTGAGATTGAGCTCTGCAGTCACTTTTGCAGCAGTTATTTTCTTATTCCGGGTCACAATCCTGCGCAATGTCCTTTTGTCTCTTTCAGTCAGTAGACCATGTCGACCGTGCTTATGCTTATCAGATGATGGTTTCCTGGAAACTGTATATGCCGTCATAAACTTTGATACTGTACCTCACAACACAGCAAATAAATTGGCAATTTCAGTCACAGAGGCACAACAGCAATTTGCCTTCTTTGAAGCTCAGCAAGATCTGACATGACTCCGTATTACTAGCAGCACATGCAGTGAACGGCAAAAGTGAGGCTTCCCACCGGTTAGCCAGGAGTCTCATCACACAGCAGAAGCAAAAGAATGTTACATCACTTTTGCTTTCAAACGCAAAAGATGTCGCCATTTTCATACCTGCAAATCATGTATTTTTCCCATTTTTTTGTCTAACCACTGTAAGTCAAAAAGTCAAAACCAGCAGCTTTAACTTCTCTATAGTTAACAATTGCTCTGCTGGTAAGGAGAGAGGTTAGGCACGTCAGATGAATTCAGTCACTCAGTTTGGGATCAAAAGGGCATGACACAATGACAACATGGCTGTGCTAGATCTCCACTTTGAAGGCGGACCTCTAAAAGGCCAAAACACCTGCAGTACCTTTCCACTGAATGCAGTGTTCTATTGTACTCAAACCACACAGTGCATTGTGCCCTCTTCAGTCTCTGTTCAAGCAGCTGGCCTAAATAATGTACATGCATTGTCCACTTTGCATGATCCTCAGGCAAAGGGATTCTCAGGAGAGTTATGCCTACATTGTTGGACATTGTCCTGTCATTAGAAGGGACTCCAGCTCACCCCCCCCCCCTCTCTCTCTCTCTCTCTCTCTCTCTCTATATATAGACTTGATGACTGACTGGGTGCTCTACTACGAGTTAGTGAACTCCCCTTTCTGATTCTGCTGCATTCTCTATGCCACCAATAATGGGAAAGTATGGCAAATATGACTTTACTTTTCCAATATACATCATCATGCCATGTAATGAAGCCAGTGTGAGTACTTAAAGCAGAGTTCCACTCACCCTGTCAAGAAAATAAGTCAGCAGCTACAAAAACTGTAGCTGCTGACTTTTAAAAACCAGCCACTTACCTGTCCCTCGGTCCTGTGGTGTGTCCTCCGCAGCCCGTTTCACCGGCCGTCCTGTATTCCAGGAGCCCAGCATCTTCAATGTGGGGCACTGCGCATGCACAAGTACTGCTGCGCTTCATGGTCCTGTAGTCTTCTGGGACCTGTCACGTGTCCCAAAAGACTACAGGGAAGGAGGACACCTTCCGCTTACCTAGGCGATCAGACCAGAAGTGGAAGTGGGTACCTGTCAAATTCGAGTACCCGCTCCCCCACCCGCCCCCCAAAGGTGCCAATCCTTAATGGGGAGCGGGGGAGCAGTCCTTAAAGCGGAACTTCCACTTTTGGGTGGAGCTCCGCTTTAAAGTATGACTAAAAGGTAAAACTTTTTTTGTTTTGAACAGAGTGGAGAGGGATTGTAACACTTGTCAGTTTTAATGGCTGTCTGTGTTCCCATTAGGCAGATTCCTCTAATTTTCCTGTTTAACATTATCAATGAAAGTAAAAGAAAAATCGTAAATTTTGGGTTGTCCGCAGGACAGTAATAGAGGGGAAATCTTCTGGTTCTGGTGACAACCAGGGATTCACTCACTTCAGAGGTATTTCACTTCTGTTTGGGCTATGGGACATGAAAGTAAATGGACACAGGTTGCAAAAAAAAAAAAAAAAAAACTGACAGTGGTTATAGCCCCCTCCCTTACTCTATACAAGTAAAGTTTGGCATTTACAGTCAGGTCCATAAATATTGGGACATCGACACAACTCTAACATTTTTGGCTCTATACACCACCACAAGGGATTTGAAATGAAACGAACAAGATGTGCTTTAACTGCAGACTGTCAGCTTTAATTTGAGGGTATTTACATCCAAATCAGGTGAACGGTGTAGGAATTACAACAGTTTGCATATGTGCCTCCCACTTGTTAAGGGACCAAAAGTAATGGGACGATTGGCTTCTCAGCTGTTCCATGGCCAGGTGCGTGTTATTCCCTCATTATCCCAATTACAATGAGCAGATAAAAGGTCCAGAGTTCATTTCAAGTGTGCTATTTGCATTTGGAATCTGTTGCTGTCAACTCTCAAGATGAGATCCAAAGAGCTGTCACTATCAGTGAAGCAAACCATCATTAGGCTGAAAAAACAAAACAAACCCATCAGAGAGATAGCAAAAACATTAGGCGTGGCCAAAACAACTGTTTGGAACATTCTTAAAAAGAAGGAACGCACCGGTGAGCTCAGCAACACCAAAAGACCCGGAAGACCACGGAAGACAACTGTGGTGGATGACCGAAGAATTCTTTCCCTGGTGAAGAAAACACCCTTCACAACAGTTGGCCAGATCAAGAACACTCTCCAGGAGGTAGGTGTATGTGTGTCAAAGTCAACAATCAAGAGAAGACTTCACCAGAGTGAATACAGAGGGTTCACCACAAGATGTAAACCATTGGTGAGCCTCAAAAACAGGAAGGCCTGATTAGAGTTTGCCAAACGACATGTAAAAAAGCCTTCACAGTTCTGGAACAACATCCTATGGACAGATGAGACCAAGATCAACTTGTACCAGAGTGATGGGAAGAGAAGAGTATGGAGAAGGAAAGGAACTGCTCATGATCCTAAGCATACCACCTCATCAGTGAAGCATGGTGGTGGTAGTGTCATGGCGTGGGCATGTATGGCTGCCAATGGAACTGGTTCTCTTGTATTTATTTGATGATGTGACTGCTGACAAAAGCAGCAGGATGAATTCTGAAGTGTTTCGGGCAATATTATCTGCTCATATTCAGCCAAATGCTTCAGAACTCATTGGACGCCGCTTCACAGTGCAGATGGACAATGACCCAAAGCATACTGCAAAAGCAACCAAAGGGTTTTTAAGGGAAAGAAGTGGAATGTTATGCAATGGCCAAGTCAATCACCTGACCTGAATCCGATTGAGCATGCATTTCACTTGCTGAAGACAAAACTGAGGAAAAATGCCCCAAGAACAAGCAGGAACTGAAGACAGTTGCAGTAGAGGCCTGGCAGAGCATCACCAGGGATGAAACCCAGCATCTGGTGATGTCTATGCGTTCCAGACTTCAGGCTGTAAATGACTGCAAAGGATTTGCAACCAAGTATTAAAAAGTGAAAGTTTGATTTATGATTATTATTCTGTCCCATTACTTTTGGTCCCTTAACAAGTGGGAGGCACATATGCAAACTGTTGTAATTCCTACACCGTTCACCTGATTTGGATGTAAATACCCTTGAATTAAAGCTGACAGTCTGCAGTTAAAGCACATCTTGTTTGTTTCATTTCAAATCCATTGTGGTGGTGTATAGAGCCAAAAATGTTAGAATTGTGTCGATGTCCCAATATTTATGGACCTGACTGTAGCTCTACTTTAAGAGCAAGATGACTTCTTTTCAGAAGAAGGTCAGGGGATGTAGCTTTCATATTGTCTTAGGAAAGGTTTACTTTAACTGCAGGGAACTATAAAGGAAGGAGGCATCCCTGTGGTAATCTAATTCAGAAATGTGCCAAAAAAATAAGCAGTGCCTGGAAATAATCTGAGCAGAAAAGGCAGGGGAAAAATTACAGCACAATAGGTTTAGGTCGTTATTTTTATATTTGATATAGGAAAATATCATTTAAAAAAGGATAAAAACACACAGCATATAGAACAAACAGGTTTTGTTACTCACATCCTCAAGAAGGCGGCCTTCCACACGTAGCTCCCAAGAAGCCACTGTACCTTCACCATCCTCAATATCTGACTTTGCTGGGTTAAATGTGTTAGAAATGAAGATGCGGAGTTTCCTTTTTTGCTAGAGAGAAGAAGAAAAAAAAAAAATAAGACAAAATAAAGTGCTGTTTGGAATAAACCTGTGTAAAGAGTAAAGTCTAGAACTTCAGCTTACTTTGATCGGTCTTTTCAAGGCCTCTTGAATATCAAGCCGTTTTCTCATAATTGTCTGGTCCAATTTCCTCTCAAAAGCCAATAAATCCATGTAAGCCTGAGATTCAGGTACCAGCTCCCGAATCTGTGCAGAAAGTCAAAGTAATTACAATGTGTGCAACTTCTAAAACACGTTTTATTGGTAGTCCATCATTTCGTCAACACTCACCCTCTGAGGTAGAATCTTATCAGCCATCTTCTTCTTTTTAGCACTTTAAAATTGAAAAAGAAATGAGATCAGCCAAGATCACGGCCTTCCCTCCAGCACAGTGTACAAACATTCAGATATTCATAAGTGATGGCACAATAACTCAGCACTACCTCTGAGGCCTAAACAGAGAATTGGTTTTTGTTCCACTTGGGCACACAAATGTTTAACAAACTCTGTGACAGACAACAGTCAACCTTAGCTTATAACATTTAAATTAATGGGCACAAAGGAAGCTGATGAAATACCAACAGGCATAACCCTTATAAAAGAAAAACACAAGTTAGACCCATTGGCAGATATGCTGCAATGCTGATAATGTTCTCTGTCAGTTGTCCTTTACACACTGCAGGATTCAATGTCCTTAACAACAAGTGTGGATGTCCAAGATAAAGATGAATGAGGAAAAAAAAAGCTTTGGGGTTCAATGAACCACTTGCCATCCTGAGAATTTACCCCCCTTCCTGACCAGGCCATTTTGTGTGTTACGGCGCTGCGTTACGTTAACTGACAATTGCGCGGTCATGCAACGCTGCACCCAAATGAAATTTATGTCCTTTTTTTCCCCACAAATTGAGCTTTCTTTTGGTGGTATTTGATCGCCTGTGCAGGTTTTATTTTTTGCGTTATATATAACAAAAAAAAAAAAAAAAAAAAAGACCGACAATTTTGAGAAAAAAAAAAAATGATATTTTTTACTTTTTGCTATTAAACAGGTCCAGTAAAAAAAATGTTTAAAAAAATCTAATTTTGTCATAAATTTAGGCCAAAATATATTCTGCTGCATGTCTTTGCTAAAAAAAAAAAAAAAATCCCAATACGTGTAAATGAATTGTTTTACGTGAAAATTATAGCATTTACAAATGGCGGTATATATACTGGAATTTGTTTTAACATTTTTTATTTTTACTAGTACTGGCGGCGATCAGTGACTTATAGCGGGACTGCGGTGGGCATTCTGACACTGGGGGGAACTGGCTTGGTGTCATTGACATCCCCACTGACACCAATACAGTGAAAAAAAAAAAAAAAAAAAAAACTCCTGCACTGGGCAGGAAGGAGTTAACATGAGGGGCAATCAAAGGGTTAACTGTGTGCTGTTTTACTTGTGTCTGTGTCCTTCACTGTAATCACACTGCTTTGGATGGATGTGCACAGCACAGCCGTGCAAAGCATTGATTACAGTTTACTGTTGCAATGTGATTACACACTACAGTGTGACTATTGTTTACATACAGTTCTCCTCCCCGGAGATGCTCGGCAATCACAGGGCGCCGGCGATTAATCACCGGCTGGGACCCAGTGATTGACAGCTGCGGCCGCGAATGGCGGCGTGGGTAGGGCGCATGCCTCCTACCTGGAAATTAAAAGTCACGTATATATACACGTGATTTTGCACACCCGTGCCGCCCTGTAGCAGTATATCTGCTATAAGGCGGTTAGGAAGCGGTTAATGAATGCGGTTTTGCCACTTGGTGGTAATGGCCCTTTTAGAGATATTGCATTTGCTATTGGACAAGGCATATTGATAATCATAAGTAAATGGGAAATTGTGAAGTTTTCATGTAATGCCTTACACAAATACGCCAAGTCACAAGCATTATATACACTGAGCAGCCATACCTTTACGACCACCCATATAATTCCGCATAAGTCACCCTATTGCCGCCAAAACTGCCCTGACCTATTGACACCACTAGACCTCTACATGTACATTGTGGTATCCGGCACCAAGCTGTCAGTAGCAGATCCTTTAAGCCCTGTAAATGGTCAGGTGGGGGACTCTATGGATCGGTTTGAGATCTGGAAAATTTAGAGGCCAAGTCAACACCTCAAACTCATCGTCGTGTTTCTCAAACCATTCTTAAACCGTTTTTGCAGTGTGGCATATTATTCTGCTAAAAGAGGCCATTGCCATCAGGGAAGACAGTCTCCACGAAGCCGTGTTCTAGGTCAACAACAATGCTTAGGTAGGTGCTACGTGTCAAAAATAACATCCACATGAATGATGGAACACAAGGTTTCCCAGCAAAGCGTTGCCCAAAGCATCACCCTGCCTCCAATGGCTTGCCTTCTTCCTATACTGCATTCCTGGTGCAATCTCTTCCTCAGGTAAGTGATGAACACACACCCAGCCATCCATATGATGTAAAAGAAAATGGGATTTATCAGACCAGGCCACTTTCTCACATTGATCTGTGGTGCAGCTCAGATGCTCATGTGGCCACTGTAGGTGCTTTTGGCCGTGGACACTGTTCAGCAAGGGCACCCTAACCAGTCTGCAACTATGTAATCCCATACACAAGTTGATGACCATTTTTTCTGCTTTTAACACATCAACTTCAGTAACAATATGTTTACTTGCTGCCTATTTTATCCCACAGAATTTCAGATGCCATTGTAATAAAATAATGTTATGCACTTAAGCTGTCAGCGGTCATGAAGTTATGGCTGATTGGTGTATTTGATATGACACTGACACATTCTTAGGGCACTAAAAACAAATGTATGTTCACTAGTTACCTGTGGTTCCTATTTTGAGCTGCCTGTTGTTGCTGAACTTGCTGTATTTGTTGGGGTGCAGGGCGTTTCCGGGACTGGTCCATGCCTGACTGAGCCATCCCTGGTCGAGCAGCTGGGCTTCCACCATAACCTGGAGGTCCCATGGCTGGTCCCTGAGGGGTCATCCGACTGCCTGGAAGCATCCCAGGTCGCTGTATCGAACAAACATATAATATAATGTGAGCTCTAAATTATAATAATCAACAACCACAGCTCCCAACATAAATGGAGAACTACTAAATTCAGAAGTCTATAAATCTACTGCCTAGCACAGGGGTATGCACACTCTGAGAGGCAGAGATCTACCTGGACAACATGGAACAGATCAGAGACCATCGTGGTGCGGTGCCCTTTTTTTTTTTAAAGAAAAATAACCAATCAAACCCCAATAAAACGATGGCATGAAGAACACTGTGTTACAGAAGTATCCTCTGTCCCCTTCACATCCCCCCCACAGTACTTCCCTCTGCACCCCTTCAAGAAATTACTCTCCACAGTGGTGTTCTTTGCCCCACCCACAGTAAGGATTGCTGCCATCAACGCCCCCCCCCCCCCCCCAGAAATTTCCTCTGCAATCACCCCACCCCCACAGTAGTGTCTTTTGCCCCCCTTCACCCCCCCCCCCCCCCCACCTCAATTATGTACTCTGCCCCTGTGTGAATGCATCAATGCAGTGCATGTTAGCTCAGCTTGCAGAGTTTACCAAAAATGTAAATATTGCAGAATATACAGCCTCATACTACATAACTAAGCTCCATTTCATGCTGAATAAACTAAATTATTAATGTATTCTTAAATAGAAAACTATCTTTAGATAGATTTTTTACTCCAAAAGCATTTTATTAAAACAAATTTGATAAAAAAAATCTGATTTAAATTAAAAAAAAAAAAAAAAAAAAAAATCAATTTTTTTTTAAAAAATTCTAAAGTCATCGATTTTTATCCACCCTGGCTCTGAAATAAAGTCCCTACCTGGAGTGTCTTCTTGGTGTATAAATATGCAACTGATGTGGTATGGGAAACAGTGATTCCTGTCAGTTTCCTGCACCACATAGCAATCGCTGTTTTCATGCCATCTGCTGCGGTGATGACACCCCAGTAGCAGGTTGCAAAATGCAGTGCATTTCCCTAAATCGGATCGCATGGGTATGAACACCCATGTGGTCTGATTAGAGTGTGGCAAAAAAGAAAAAAAATGTTGCCTGCACCTTTTTCATGCAGATGTGGTACGACTTGAGCCATACAAAATGAATAGCCTCAAATTGCACAGAGAGATTCCTGTGGGAATAACATGTGGTTCTAGTGTAAAACGGGGGCAAAACAAGCTTCTGTCCCAATCATGCCGACAACACACAAATCTATCTCTCAACCGAATCACAAACCTACTAAACGACATATCAGACTGGATGTCACTCCACTTCCTTAAGCTGAACCTCTCCAAAAACCGAGCTCCTAGTCTTCCCCCCAGCCCCGCGCACCCCCCCCACTGACTTCTCCATCACAACAACGCCACCATCAAACCCGCCCTGCAGGCCAGAGTACTTGGTGTCATTCTGGACTCCAACCTACCCTTCCAGCCCCAAGTCCAATCTTTAACAAACTCATGCAGACTCCACCTCCGCAACATCGCCAAAATCCACACGTTCCTAACCCCAGAAACCACTAAACAGCTCATCCACTCCCTCATCATATCACGACTGGACTACTGCAACTCCCTCCTCACTGGCCTGCCTCGCCGCTGGCTATCCCCGCTTCAGTCGATCCTGAATACGGCAGCCAGACTCATTCACATTACCAACCGCTCCGTTTCCGCCACCCCCCTCTGCCAATCCCTCCACTGGCTTCCGATTGCACAACGGATCAAATTCAAAATCCTATCACCGATGTACAAAGCTGTCCACCATACTGCCCCGAACTACATCACTGACCTAATATCCAAGTACCACCCAACACGCACACTCCGCTCCTCACAAGACCTCCTTCTCTCTAGTTCCCTGGTCTCCTCCTCCCATGCCCGCCTCCAGGACTTCTCCAGGGTGTCACCCATCCTCTGGAACTCCCTACCCCAATCCATCAGACTATCACCTACTCTCCTCTCATTTAGGCGCACCCTGAAAACCCATCTCTTCAGGGAAGCCTACCCCACCCTCTGCTAATTGCCGACCTCCTCCACTCTTCCTACCACTCCATCCCCCACAGCTATCTCCTACTGTGCCACCATCCCCTCCCTCCTAGATTGTAAGCTCCAAAGAAGAGCAGGGCCCTCGAACCCCTCGTGCATCACATTGTATTGGTATTGTTCTGTCTCATGTTCTGTCCCCCATTGTAATGTACAGCGCTGAGCAAACCGTTGGCGCTTTATAAATACTGTATAATAATAATAATGTATCTTCAGATCATGTCATGTTTAAGCACTGCAAAAACTATGGGGGCGCTTCACTCCTACAAATTCAGCTTGGTTGGCCGCCACATCGTTTTCAGTGTCTGATGACAAATTTCCCCACGAATCATCACTCAATTCTGCAAGTGGTTCTGATTTACTATCGCTGTTCTCTAGCTGGTCTAAAACCGCTTTTGACATAAAGGAACGCTTTTTGGACACCATGGACATTTCTCAGTTTCCAGGCAGAAAGAACAGTAAAAATGCAGGCAGGGCACAGGACAAAGCACTCGGGACAAAATGTATGTGAAATGGTTTGATACAGTAATGTTTTACTATGTGATTTTAGTGTATTTAGTGAATGTCACTTTTTGACATTTTTAAATTTCCCTCCATTCCGTCCCGGTACGTCCCGACGCTCGCAGGGAACGGAACCCAGAAGACAGATGCCGGCATCGGCCGGAGGACATTGCAGGGATGCTGCAGGAGGGACATCGCGGGAGCAAAGGACAAGGTAAGTGCAGAAGAGATCCCGGAGCAGCACTGCAGGGTATTCCCGAGTATAGCTCGGGGTTACCGCTTTTGGTGCTGAAACTTTACCCCGAGATACACTCGGGAATACCGCCAGGGAGGTTAAGAGCTCCAGCAAAGCACACTGACTCAGGAAGGAGCATGAGCTACTTGGAGCCAGACAGATAATATAAATCCTGTATAATAATAATAATAATATCTAATGAATGCAATAAGCTTTCTGGGTTTAAGGCATTAGAAGCTGCAAAACTCAAAAGCAGGAACAAAAAAAGAAGACTTAATAGATTTTTATTTCAAAAAGTAGTGCACACAGATATCCTCAAATCTCTGCTGTCTTGCAATGCAAAGAAATGAATGCTTCAAATTTGCACACTGGAGGACTAGACAGATATACTGGATGTGCAGTTGGGCTCTGGATTTACGCAGTAGCTGGGGCTCTGGATTTACGCAGTAGCTGGGGCCCTGGATTTACGCAGTAGCTGGGGCCCTGGATTTACGCAGTAGCTGGGGCCCTGGATTTACGCAGTAGCTGGGGCCCTGGATTTACGCAGTAGTTACAAGCTGTCCAAACTGAACTAAAAAAAATATTTTTTTTCTATGGGGGAGGGGGGTTGGAGGCTGACCTACCTTCCCCTCCACAACCTTCTCACACATGCGCAGTGGGAAGCCGGCTTTGAAACCACAAGGAGTCACAGTCAGATATCCACTTTTAACATGCTGCTGCCAAGGACCCCAAGACTGGTGCAGAAATAGCCCAGGTGAGGAAGGCGCTAGATCCTTGGACAAGCGAGTATCCTTTTATTAAATTAATTTTAATTTTTGCATAACTGGCTAAATCTCCCCCTTAAGTCTAAGGCTACAATGGTGATTAAATCTATTTTTTAATGAGAGATTTAACTACTCACTGGCAGCCATTTTATTTGCAGTACAATCAAGAGGCGTTGTCACCTTTCTTAAAGCAGAGCTCCACCCAAAAGGGGAAGTTCCGCTTTAAGGACTTAAGGACTGCTCCCCATTAAGGATTGGCATCTTTGGGGGGTGGGAGGGGGACCAAATTTGACAGGTACCCACTCCCGGTCCGATAGCCTAGGAGTCCTCCCTCCCTCCCTGTAGTCTTTTGGGACACGTGACAGGTCCCAGAAGACTACAGGACCATTCATGAAGCGCAGCACTACTCGCACATGCACAGTGGGTACCTGGCTGTGAAGCCGCAAGCTATCACAGCCAGGTGCCCACACTGAAGATGCCAGCCTCCTGGAATACAGGACAGCCGGTGAAAATGGGCTGCGGGGGACACACCACAGGACAGGTAAGTGGCTGTTTTTTTTAAAAGTCAGCAGCTACAGTTTTTGTAGCTGCTGACTTTTATTTTTGACAGGGTGAGTGGAACTCCGCTTTAAGCTGGTAAGCAGTGAAGGGGGAAACAGACTTCGCAACTTACAGGGCAAGGGACTGGGACCACCTTACGGAGGAGGCCCTTGTTCGCCGTTCCAGATGAACCAGGTTCATTAAGATGACACAGGTGAGGTCCACGTTGCAGAAGGGCCTTCTTGAAAGGGTAACATACCACAAGCACTTTTGATTTTCTCCAAATTTATCAAGGTATGTGGGATAAGGAAACAACCTTGACGGACCTATCCGGTTAGTGCATAACACAGGAGACAGGCACACTGTTGTAAATTTGTAATATCTCTTGCACTGAGGATAATGGAGCGCCTATGCTTTTGGGTCTGACAACACTCAGGAGATCAGCCATTTGTAAAGTGGTTGAATAGTGTTCAGTCCAAAATAGAAAGCAGTTACTGTACATAATGAGGAAAATAGCAGTATCAATAGGTAACTTACTCATAGTAACTTTAACGGTAACTCCCCTTTTCTAGGAAAGAAATATTTTGAATTAAAAAAAATATAGCATATACAACTGTGACACAAACCATATTGTAATTCATTATTGAAAATATTTCCTTTTCTGACTGCAGTGCTGTAATTGCAATGCAACCTGGATGTTCCGTACACTGTTGGTGTACAGAACGCACTCAAAGATGTGATTTCTTGTTTGAGTGATTGGCTCGTGAATTTTCCCAGAAGTCTGCACTATGATACAAGCCAGATTTGGGGCATCCTATGCAACAAAAATTTCAGATGCTCCTAAAGGGTTAATCACTGCCAAAGGGATGCAGACCCTGTCACTTTCCTCATTAGAACACTGCAAGTACATCAGTTGAAAAAATAAAAGTCACTTGCATGTAGAAACTGTCCTGCACAAGACATTAACAAAGAGCTATGCGTTCACAGCAGAAACAGATAGGACCCTGCAGTGTACATAGATCACCCAGAGGGAAATGTTTTTTTTCTTTCCCTCACAAAAGTGGAGTTACTCTTTAAAAAAAAAGCAGCATATTGTGAATGGCCATATCCTAAAGGATTAGTGTACCTTTACCAAGAAAAACTGCCTATACAGATAAGGGATGCCTGTAGATAAAAAAAAACTATGCAGCTTTGACCAAAGTTGAATAATGTCCTTGTGATAGGTGTAGGCCATTTATTATTATTATACAGGGTTTATATAGCACCAACAGCTTACGCAGCGCTTTACTACAAAAGGGTAGACAGTACAATTACAATACGAATCAATACAGGAGGATTCAGAGGGCCCTGTTCATTAGAGGGAGGGTCGAGAGATACAAAAGGTCATAACTGTGGGGGATGGGCTGATGGACAAAATACATGTACAGTTGTTAGGTGCTGGTAGGATAGGCCTCTCTGAAGAGATGAGTTTTCAGGGATCGTCTAAAAGTGGACAGAGATGGAGATTAGTCGGAAACATTGGGGAAGGGAGTTCCAGAGGATGGGAGCGGCTCTGGAGAAGGCGAAACATGGGAGGCGGTGACAAGGGAACTAGAAAGCAGGAGGTCTTGGGAGGAATGAAGTGAACAATTTGGTTGGTATTTTGAGACTAGGTTAGTGATGTAACTAGGGGCTAAATAGTGGATGGCTTTAGAGGTTGTTGTAAGTATCCTGAATTTTATTCGTTGGGTGAGGGAAGCCAGTGGAGGGACTGGCAAACAGGAGTGGCAGATACTGTACGGTTGGTAAGGTGAAGGAGTCTGGAAGCAGCAATCATGATGGACTGGAGGTGGGATAGCCTGTGTAAAGGTAGATCAGAGAGGAGGGAGTTGCAGTAGTTTAGACAGGAGATGACCAGGGAGTGAGAAGCTTTGTGGTGTCATTGGTTAGGAAGGGGCGTATCTTGGAGATGTTGAGGGGGCATGTTTTGGACAGTGATTGGATTTATATACTTCCCAAAGCCTAGCTGAAAAATTTGGCACTTTGGTTTTGATATTGGGCACTTTTGGTTTTTAGTTTCTGTTATAAAATTTTGTAAACAAGTAATTTTTCTCCTTCACTGATGTGCGCTAATGAGGCTGCAGTGATGAGCACTGATTGGCAGCACTGATATGTGGCATTGATGGGCACTGAAAGGCAGCATTAATGGGGCTACACTGATCATCAGGGCCCAGATGTCCCCTCTGAGAAATGCCGCTTACAGGCTCTCCTCACGTGCTGTCAGTGTGAGGAGAGGACTGCCCGATGACTGGCATTTCCTATTTACATGCGATCAGCTGTGATTGGACACAGCTGATCACATGATAGAGCCTGTGTCATCTGCTCTTTACTGTGATCAGTGATCCACTGTGTCCCAGGGACACAGCGCACTCCCGGGGGGTGGCGTGCATGCATGCTGTCCCCCTAAGAGCGTGAGCGAACTATTGGCGATGTCATACGACGTCCTCCCGGAACGAGAGAGCTGCCGCCCGCCTGTCATTTCCCTATATGGCCAGGGAGAGGTCTATTTCCCTATATGGCCACTTCTGGAGAGAACCAGAAGTGATTCTAAAGGCTTATTTATTTAATAACAAACATGTCTATACTTACCTGCTGTGTGCAGTGGTTTTGCACTTAGCAGCCAAGATCCTCCTCTTCTCAGATCCCCCACCGGCGCTCCTGGCCCCTCCCTCCTGTTGGGTGCCCCCATGGCAAGCAGCTTGCTACGAGGGCACCCGAGCATGCACACTCCCCAGCCGCTACTCCTGTGTGTCTATTTACACAAGGAGCCGCGGCTCGGCCCTTCCCCCTCTCTTCAGAGTGGCTCACTGGCTGTGATTGACAGGCTGGGATAGCAGACATTGCAGTGCACATCGCTGGATCGAGAGGGGGCTTAGGTGAATATTGAGGGGGCTGCTGCACAGAAGTTTTTTTACCTTCATGCATAGACTGCATGAAGGTAAAAAACCTTGAACCTTTACAACAACTTTAAATATGCTGTAAATGATGAACCTTCTTTGAAGTTTCTAAAAAGAGGGGTATAGGTTTCTGGCTATTATGTAAACATGTTACACTAACTTAACATATCAGTCTGATTAAAAGAAAAGGGGACATTGCACCCCAATACTCATTATCCACTGACAGCAGGTGCAATGCTCTGCAGACTCCTGTGCAAGAAACAAATGTACTTATTTTGCAGAAAAGTAATGTTTGCCTTTTAGGGCCCATAGGAATAAAGTAGGGACGCATTCTCTGCTCTCCTATAACTGACAGCAAGCATGGGGATGCGTGTAGGGAGGTTTCTCGCACCGCTCTTGTGTGAACTCGGGCTATGACAAGCCTGGGCTCACACAGGAGCAGTAGGGGAAACCAAAAGAGATTTGGACAGGAATCGCATGCAAATCTTTGCAGTTCACCAGAAAATACTCTGCAATTACCTACAGCACCCTGGTAGTTCATTGAGAACTGCAAGAGGAAAGCTGCAAAGGCAATTGGGACTTGTAGTTTCCCATTCACAAAACTCTGTGAATGAATGATGCATCGGGGTGGGTGGAGCCTTGCACAGCTGCAGTTTATTTATTTCAGGTAGTTATATAGCGAAGTCAATTTATGCAGTGCTTTACATATATATTGTACATTCACATCAGTCCCTAACCCTCAAGGGGCGTACAATCTAAGGTCCCTAACTCACATTCATACATACACATACTAGGGCCAATTAAGTCAGTACCCAATTTACCTACCAGCACGTCCTTGGATTGCGGGAGGAAACCCGCACAGGGATAACATGCAAACTCCAGGTAGGTGGTGCCGTGGCTGGGATTTGAACCAACAACCCTAGTACTGCCATACCATTTAGCCATACTGACGGATGGCGGGGGGGGAGAAGATCCCCTGCTTGCTGTCACTAAAGGCAGAGAAGCGGGCAGCAGCGGCTGCAGGAGTGGGAACATATTACATGTTCCACCCTAAGAACGGGGGCGGGATACATTTCCTGCTAAGGTAATACACATCTCTGAAGCCTGATACACACAATGAGAATATCGGATAAATGCTCATCCTTTTTTATTTTACATGCTAGTCTTATATTGAAAATGAAGAGGTTACTAAACATGTAGCAAGCATATGGCGCCACTGAAACCTGGACAGGATACAATCACCCCGCCGACAAGGAAGAGGGGAGCGGCGTCCATGCTCTCTCCCAGAAAGGTTACTAAAGTTATGAAAGTTCTAAGCAGAATACAACTTCAGAGGTGATGTGATGGATTGTATTGTAATGTATTCCTTTATTTCTGAGCATACATGTTCTTGATCACTCTTTGACCACTTTTTCAGATGAATGCTGCACTGAATAAAACGAAAATCATTTGTCCTACTGATTAGATTATCAGATGATAGCACATGATCGCTGTGTACCAGGCTTTACTGACCGTGTGTGTCTGTGGGGGGGGGGGGGGGGGGGGGGTTAGTGCAGGAGACACAGTAGGATTATCTTACTGACTCCCACTGTGAAGGGGGGTACATCTCCTACTGACTCCCACTGTGAAGGGGGGTACATCTCCTACTGACTCCCACTGTGAAGGGGGGTACATCTCCTACTGACTCCCACTGTGAAGGGGGGTACATCTCCTACTGACTCCCACTGTGAGAGGGGGGTATGCACATCTACTGGCCACCAATGTAAAGGGGAAGGGCGCATCTCCTACTGACCACCAATGTAAAGAGGGAGGGCGCATCTCCTACTGACCACCAATGTAAAGGGGGAGGGCGCATCTCCTACTGACCACCAATGCAAAGGGGGGGGAGGGCGCATCTCCTACTGACCACCAATGTAAAGGGGGAGGGCGCATCTCCTACTGACCACCAATGTAAAGGGGGAGGGCGCATCTCCTACTGACCACCAATGTAAAGGAGGAGGATGGGCGCATCTCCTACTGACCACCAATGTAAAGGAGGAGGATGGGCGCATCTCCTACTGACCACCAATGTAAAGGGGGAGGGGGTCATCTCCTACTGACCACCAATGTAAAGGGGAGGGGGTCATCTCCTACTGACCACCAATGTAAAGGGGGAGGGGGTCATCTCCTACTGGCCACCAATGTGAAGGGGGAGGGGGTCATCTCCTACTGGCCACCAATGTAAAGGAGGGGGGAGGGGGTCATCTCCTACTGGCCACCAATGTAAAGGGGAGGGGGTCATCTCCTACTGGCCACCAATGTAAAGGGGGAGGGGGGTCATCTCCTACTGGCCACCAATGTAAAGGGGGAGGGGGTCATCTCCTACTGGCCACCAATGTAAAGGGGGAGGGGGTCATCTCCTACTGGCCACCAATGTAAAGGGGGAGGGGTCATCTCCTACTGGCCACCAATGTAAAGGGGGAGGGGTCATCTCCTACTGGCCACCAATGTAAAGGGGGAGGGGATCATCTCCTTCTGGTCACCAATGTAAAGGGGGAGGGGGATCATCTCCTTCTGGTCACCAATGTAAAGGGGGAGGGGGTCATCTCCTACTGGCCACCAATGTAAAGGGGGAGGGGGTCATCTCCTACTGGCCACCAATGTAAAGGGGGAGGGGGTCATCTCCTACTGGCCTCCAATGTAAAGGGGAAGGGGTCATCTCCTACTGGCCACCAATGTAAAGGGGGAGGGGATCATCTCCTTCTGGTCACCAATGTAAAGGGGGAGGGGATCATCTCCTTCTGGTCACCAATGTAAAGGGGGAGGGGGTCATCTCCTACTGGCCACCAATGTAAAGGGGGAGGGGGTCATCTCCTACTGGCCTCCAATGTAAAGGGGGAGGGGGTCATCTCCTACTGGCCTCCAATGTAAAGGGGGAGGGGTCATCTCCTACTGGCCTCCAATGTAAAGGGGGAGGGGTCATCTCCTACTGGCCACCAATGTAAGGGGGAGGGGGGGGGAGGGGATCATCTCCTTCTGGTCACCAATGTAAAGGGGGAGGGGATCATCTCCTTCTGGTTACCAATGTAAAGGGGGAGGGGATCATCTCCTTCTGGTCACCAATGTAAAGGGGGAGGGGATCATCTCCTACTGGCCACCAATGTAAGCAGGGAGGGCACATCTCCTACTGGCCACCAATGTAAAGCGATACTTGTCCTTTGTTGGCCAGTGTCAGAGGGCACTTTTATACAGAGCAGACAAGGTAAGAAGGTTCTCCATGGTCCCCGGATGGAAGTGGCTTTCCCTGACCACTGCGAGTTGCTACATTTGTTTTCTGCCCATTAATATTGGATGATTGATGATTGATAATGGCAATGTATTTAGCGTAAGTGGTGGTAAAGTGTAACGCCAGGTTTCCAGAACATACTAGCCCAAGCCCTAGTGTACCCCAGGCCGTATTATTACTATGAGGTGATCGGTAACCCCCATGTATGGTGTGATCAGACCTTCATGTGTATACTGATCAGCACAACCCAGGGGTCCCCTGACAGCCAGACCTCATCTCCAAGGCTCCTCCATGAGTGGGGGGGAGGAGTATTGGCCATTCTAGGATCAGCTCCATGTCCAGGGTGATTGGGAGCTCCCAGCACTGGTGGTCAGAGAAGTGATGGGAAGGGGTTTACTACACAGATATGGGGGAGGGGTGCAGGGCCTCATGGGGAGGGGTAGATAAGTACCCAGTAATTGGGTATGGTACATAGATATGGGGGAGGGGAAGAATGCTCAATAATGGGGACTGCAACAGAGGGGATGCAGTGCCTGGTGATGAGGGGGAGGGGATGCAGTGCCTGGTGATGAGGGGGAGGGGTGCAGTGGCCAGGGGTGCAGAACCCGGTGATGGGGGGGGGGGGGGTGCAGAACCCGGTGATGGGGGGGGGGGGGTGCAGAACCCGGTGATGGGGGGGGGGGGGGGGGGTGCAGAACCCGGTGATGGGGGGGGGGGGTGCAGAACCCGGTAATGAGGGGGAGGAGTGCAGTGCCTGGTAATGAGGAGGAGGGGTGCAGTGCCTGGTAATGAGGGGGGAGGGGTGCAGCCCCGGTGATGAGGGGGGGGGGGGGTGCAGAACCCGGTAATGAGGGGGGGGGGGTGCAGAACCCGGTAATGAGGGGGAGGGGTGCAGCCCCGGTGGCGAGTTCAATGCCCGGGGGTGTGCAGTGCCTGGTGACGAGGCAGACGGGTGCAGTGCCTGCTGACTAGGGGTGCAGTGCCTGGTATGGGGGGGGGGGTTAGATAAGTCTCTGTTACAGGCCAGATCTCTCCTCTCTTACCGGATAAGCGGCTCCCGGCATCGGTGACCGGTACATGCCTTGTCCCGGGGCGGGCCCCATCCTCACAGCAGGTCCGGGCGTCCCGGGGCCCATCGCAGCGGCCGCCGGCCCGGATCCCCCGGGGGTCACCGATTGGAAGCCAGCCCGCGCCGCCATCGCTCCGCAACAATGGGGCCGGAAGCGGAAGTCGTGTGTCACACCAGGGGGGCTCCGGCACACTCACAGAACAGCGCTGCTTGCTACACCGGCGGCATGAATGAAAGAGCGGAAGTGCCTGACCGCCATCTTAGATTTGGGCAAGCTCAGACCGCTGGGAGCCGCTTCGAAACGTTTAGTCACCTAAGCAGCCATTTTGGTTAGGGGCAAAGGGCTAGCATGATTGGTAGATGTCAACCAGGGCATATCCATGGCCGCCCCAGAGCGTGTTATAAATTCCCCGCTTAAAATCATAAGCCACTTAGGTTTATAGTGGATTTTGTGGGGTCGGAAAGTTTGACACCACTTCTGCTCCACTATAGTTATACATACGGTCAGCCCTCACGGTAAATGGCTGCCGCTGGTGCCCACCGAGCCGTCACTTCCGGTCGGTAAAAGCGGAGCGCTTCACCATTTGTGTAACGAAGTTTGATTATAATCAGGGAGAAAATTGGTGTCCTATGAGGAAAACATGGAGATTCAGAGCGGCGCTCTCTTCTGGCTGGAGGTCACTACTGCATGACTCTCATTCTTCCTCCCTTCATCCACACAGCTCAAAGGAGGCATTTCCCGCCAAATTCATGTGACCTCAGTGTGTAGGACTATACGGGATATAACACACTGGGCTTTATTTACTAAAGCTGGAGAGCGCAAAATCCGACTCACTTCTGTATAGAAACCAATCAGCTTCTATCCTCAGCGTGTTCAGTTAGGTTTTGGCAATAAAACCTAGAAGCTGACAGGTTTCTATGCAGACGTAAGCTGGATTTTGCACGCTCCAGTGTTGGTAAATAACGCTCAGTGTGCTCGGCGTCCTAATGTCTCCCTGAGATAGCCCTCAGGAAACGCGTGACCGCAGTGGTACAGTGACATGAAACAATCTCCGTATTGTCTAAGAATAAGCCGTACACTGTCACTGCTTCATGGTCTGCAATCTATTCATGAAGTCATTTCTTATAGCAATTTTCTTCCTCCTTGTAACTCCCTCTGTGAGCTCCCAAACCTCACATTTTCCCACCCATTTCCTTTGTTTTGAACAAGCAGCGCATATTAGTGCTCTGACGCCTTTAGGGCTCGTTCACACTTGACTTTATTTCTAACTCTTGCCAAACGCCTCTATAGCTTTTGACAGGCATTAGACAAGTGTTTGGGAAGCGTTTTTAACACGCCTCAAATGCTCCCCGAACGCCCTATGTGCAGTTTTGAGGAGGTTGATAGGCGTTTGCCAAGCGTTAAAACTGCACCGCAAACACCTATAATGAAGTTAAATGGTATCACCACCTTGCATCCGCGTCACAAACGCATGCCAGGCGTTTGAGGAGTGGCACCATAGACTTGAATGGGAGGCTTCAATTCCTCCTGACTGGACATGAGGCGTCAGTTTTGCCATGACGCTAACGCTTCAGTGTGAACAGCACCCTGTGCTGCCATGTGCAGAATTTTCATAGGCGTTTGAGAAGCAATAAAAACACTTCCCAAATGCCTGTCTGAGGCTTGCTGACAAAGCTAGTGTGAACATAGCCTTAGACAGCAGCATTGTCAGTCTGGTGGGAGGGGAGTGTTAGACGAACTAGCAGATTTAGATACACTAACCAACTAAAGCCAAACTCCAGCTAAGCAGTTACAACAACAGTCCTTTTTTTTTTTCTTTTGGGATAAAAGTTTTACATGAATACATAACATCTGACCTTTTTAAGCACACGTTAGTGGTAAATGGTTTGTCTAAACCCTCTACTTGCCACTTTTTCTGGACAGCTTGGTCTGTTAGGAAGTTGAAGAAAAACAGACTTACCAGCTAGATCACCAGGAGAAAATAAAGGGTAAAAAAGGAAGCGAAGGCAGCCACCACATCTCATGATCTCACCGGCCCCTTTATTAGGCACAACTGTTCAATTGCATGGTAGCACAATTTGCTAATCAGCCAATCACATGGCAGCAACTTAATGCATTTAGGCATCTAGAGGTGGTGAAGACGACTTGCTGAATGGGGAACAAAGGGGATTTAGGTGCCTTTGAACATGGCATGGTTGTTGCTGCCACATGGGCTGGTCTGAGTATTTAAAAAAACTACTGATCTATTGGGATTTTGATGCACAACCATCTCTAGGGTTTACAGCAGTGGTTCTTAACCTTGTTGAAGGTACTGAACCCCACCAGTTTCATATGCGCATTCACCGAACCCTTCTTAATTGGAAAAATAAAATATGATTTTTAAAATTCAAAACATAGGTATATATTTATACATAGGTGCACAAAATGAACAAAACCGTTAAGAACAAAGAACAAAACCATTAAAACATGATTTTCACACAAAAACATAATAATGAATATTTACTGCACGAATGATATGAGTCGGGTGTGGGTCTTCACCTCCGCCGAACCCGCGAGACTGACTTGCCGAACCCCTGGGGTTCGATCGAACCCAGGTTAAGAACCACTGGTTTACAGGGAATGGTCCGAAAAAGAGAAAATATCCAGTGAGCGGCAGTTGTGTGGAGGAAAATGCCTTGTTTAGGTCAGAGGAGATCGGGCAGACAGGCTCAAGATGATAGAGAAGGCAACAGTAACTCAAATAACCACTCGGTACAACCAAGGTTGGCAGAATACCATCTCTGAATGCACAACACGTCCAACTTTGAAGCAGATGGGCTACAGCAGCAGAAGACCACACCTGGTACCACTCCTGTCAGATAAAAGCAGAAAACTGAAGCTACAATTTGCACCAAAATTGGACAATAGAAGATTGGAGAAACGTTGCCATATCTGATGAGTCTCGATTTCAGCTGTAACATTCAGATGGCAGAGTCAGAATTTGGTGTAAACATGAAAGCATGGATCTATCCTGCCTTGTATCAACGGTTCAGGGTGGTGGTGGTGTAATGGTGTGGGGGAGATTTCCTTGGCACACTTTGGGCACCTTACTACCAACTGAGCATCGTTTAAACGCCACGGCCTACCTGAGTATTGTTACTGACAATGTCCATCCCTTTATGACTCCAGTGTCCCCATCTTCTGATGGCTCCTTCCAGCAGGATAATGCACCATGTCACAAAGCTCACATCATCTCAAACTGGTTTCTTGAACATGGCAATGAGTTCACTGTACTCCAATGGCTTCCACAGTCACCAGATCTCAATCCAATACAGCACCTTTGGGATGTGGTGGAATTGGAGATTCGCATCATGGATGTGCAGCCACCAAATCTGCAGCAAATGCGTGATGATATCATGTCAGTATGGACCAAAATCTCTGGGGAATGTTTCCAACACCTTGTTGAATCTATGCCATGAAGAATTAAGGCAGTTTTGGAGGCAAAAGGGGTCCAACCCCGTACTAGCAAGGTGGACCTAATAAAGTGGCCGGTGAGTGTATACATTTTTGTTTTTGGGTTTAATGCTCTATGGGCCCATATCCATGGGATAGTGCTGTGTCATACAGGTTTTACATGCTCATACAAGTCTATGCAGATCAGAAGGTCAAATACAGCTGTTAATTAATTCCGAATGACACGAGGGAGAGAGTAAGCTCCACACAGCTCATTAGTGTATTCAGCATTCTAAAACAAACTTAAAAATGAATGATTTGGCCTGGTGTGCCTAAGGACATTGAACCAATGGCAGAAGCCTGCTATCCTGAGGCATTACTTTTCCAATGACACAGTACTTGAATTATCATGGCACAGGTTAGCCATTAAGATTTTCTTTTATTTGAAAGGAACACCTTCTTGCTGATAGTGGACTGTTTGTCAAATGATCTGGAAATCCTCAAGCCAATAGATGAATCATCTAAACATTTTTACATTACCATTGCCAAGTACAAGTTTTTACTTGCTTGCTATGGAATTCTGAAACAGACCTAGGTAGCATGCGTTTCATAAGTACAGGATTTCCAAGTGCATCTCAGCAGGAAATTTGACTGGTTCACTCTAGCCCTAGATACCTTCAGTCCAATGGATACCATAAGAGTTTTCTGCCCGCTCAAGGTACAGGCAAGAGATCCTAAGTGGGCCACAAGGAAGGTGACTACAGGCCACACGTTTGTCACCCCTGTTCTAAAGTCTGCTAGATCTCTCCACCATGTGTTGCTGTGAGGGACATTTAAACTCTGTTCTTATTTGAAGTCTTCATTCATAGAAGGATCACTCCATGACTTCATTGTTTGCAAACAGTCTTTAGGTACCCCTGGGGATTAGATGACAGTTTCCTAGCCAGATGACTCTTTAATGTCTATATGGCAGCCCCAAGGGTCCTGAATGAGAAAGAGAATGGAAAGGCTAGAAAGCTTTTCCTGATTGTTGTTTATCTTGATCTGCACATACCTTCTCTTCCCTCCTTTATTTCATTGAGAAGGGCAGAGGCTGGCCCAAGATAAGATTTTGAAATGAATGAATCATGCATGTCCCACCATTTGCGTTAATGATTATGACAAGGTTGCTAAACTAGGGTTTCATGGAACCCTAGGGTAGCTGCAGAGGTTGCTAAGGGTTCCTTGAACAATGAGCAATTTCTGCCTCTCAGACAAATTCTCCCTGGCACCATTGATCTTTTTAGCTATCTGTAAGTGTGGAATCCTTCCCAATGTCCACAAGAATTCTTCTCACTGACCATCACACAAATGTATTGTGAGTTGTAGATATAGTACTTTTTAGCAGGGGTTCCCTGAGACTGAACATTATTTCAAGGGTTCCTCTGTGTTGAAAAGGCTGAAAAATGTTGATCTACTCTAACCTGTTGCAAACAGTCTTTGGGTACCCTTGGGGATTAGATGACCGCTTCTTAGCAAGGCCACTGTAATGTCTATATTGCAGCCCCAAGGTTCCTAAATGACAAAGGGAATGGAAAGGCTAGAAAACTTTTCCTGATTGTCATTACCTCTGATTTGCATGTACCTTCTCTTCCCTCCTTGATTTATACAATTGTATTCATAAACAAAGTGTCTCAGTGCTGCCAACTAATGCAAAA